TGTTGGGATGTCATGGTTGTATTTTTGTTGCTGGGAAAAGGAAAAACAAATGCTGAAGATAAAAATAAAACAAAATCATAGAAATATTTCCCAAGAGATTTTATTTTCACAGAAAAGATAAATCCATTAGATGCAGCCCCACCCTCCTTGCCCAATGATATTCCTGTAACCACCCACCCACCTCCAATTCCTGCAGGTAAGGCAATTTAAGAACACTGACTGTCCCAGGTCTCCTTCCTTTTATAGTAGTTATGTTGTCCCTACCATTACTGCCATTTGCATTTGATTATCACATGAAAAGGGGGTGAATTTGGAGCAAAGATCAAAGACCCCTGCTCAGATGCCCCAGATCAACACCTAGTCCACTCTGGCACCATTGCAAACAAGTGTGATAGAAGATGACCACTGGTTGATTAATCTTGGATGAAGAAGGAAAAGAAAAAAAAAAGTGTTTAAGTTCAAAGTTCATGTAAAACAAATCTGCTTTGTAACAATTTTGTAAAACTTCATTGTGTGCAATTTTTGTCTTCTTTCTGTCAAATTTGTTTTTCTATTATTTATGCCAACTTGACATTTCATATAATTTTACTTCCTAACCAAATGTTTATCTGATGTTTTAATGCAGAGAACCCTAGCTTTATGGCCTTTATTGCCTAAAGCAAATGAGGAAGTCACAAGTAAAATAACAAATCCTTTTTGTTTTCATACTAATAAAAGGTGATTCTTATCTGACTCATTGGCAGAGACAAAGTTTAAAGTCCAGTTTTTGCTTTCAATAAATAGAAAAAGTAATAAGAAAACCCAAATAGAATAATTAGGCCAATAGACAGTTTGAAAATTTAATCTTTAAACTGTAAAAACTGGTAGTGGTGAAGTGGGAAGACTGTTGTGTTCCTTGTTGATTAATAATCAAAAGGTATTCAGGTGAAAATGAGATCAAATTTAGCTCATTTCTTCCCAAAAGTTTTTCATTATACATAAAATCTAAATTATTATTAAGTAGATTAAAGTTGTACAGCCAACATTGTTAACTTGGTTTCACAAAAAAAAGATAAATTTGGAGGATGCAAGAAGCTAACATCTTTCTATTCAATCTCTATCTGTCAACTGTTTTGTTGTGTGGCAAAGAAAATTATTCAAATTTGGCTAATTAAGCACAAATAAAGTTGAGCATTCAGTAGCCAATCTCTTTGAGACTGTCAAAGGCTGATGGCTGGTACAAGTGATCCTTATTGGTGTTCGATAAAACTAGCAAGTATTACCTGCTGATGATTGTAGAATAAAAAAAGAAAAAAAAAAAAAAAAAAGAAAGAAAGAGAGAAACAAATCAAGACACATAGATAAGGTGTATATATTGGTGGTCGGGTGAAGTAAACAAAAAGCCCAAAATCAAAACCAAATTCATGAAGGAGTCCTGAGAACAGATTGCAATTTTCTCTTTGCCTTCAAAAAGTTAGAAATCTAAGCAATTGGATTCAATAGAAATTAAGAGGGGGAAAAAAAATCAGTAAAAAATAAAAGCAAATTTTACTTGGATGTAGTTCACCTTTCCCTACCCAAGTCAAGCTAATTCTTTAGACTCTAGCAAAGAAAGAAAAATAAAAGGAAAGATTGAGATAAAAAAAAAAAAAAAAAATGAATAAAAATTCCAATTAAAATATTAAGAGATTCTCAGCTCAAATTATTTAAGTAAAAGAGAAATTGAAGAAACTTATAGATGTCTCTGATATTGTATCCAAAGCTACAAACTTTTTAAAAATCTATATAGAACAGCAGATTTTAATTTATAGAACAGATTGTGTCCTTGTTAGTGTCAAGTTGGGATGGAAAAACAAGTGATTAACAGAAAAATGAATGTAGAAACCTGAATGTTTTGGTTGTTTATATTTTTAGACAGCTCTCTCTCTCATTGAGACACACCTAAGTAAATGAAGATGATTAAAGAGGAAAATGAGAAAAAATGTTTAGATTTAGAAGCACCACTCTTCAGCACAAATTCCTGTAAGTTGCTCTCATTGTTATTCTTCACAATCTTTTTTTTTTATTTATTTAAGCAGTTAATTGATAATAAACCCAAGATGAGGGAAAGACACTTTTACAGAATACGTGTTTTAAAATTATCAAAGAATTCTTACTGAATTGAATTACATTTAATATACAACATATTATTGGCTTAGTTAAAAGTTGTAGAGATTTGGTGTTTTTGGCTACAAATTATATTTATAATTGCTATAATTGAATAAATTAAGCTTGACTATAATTCCCCATGAGAAAGGCTGTGTAATCAAAGATAGCAAGGAAAACATACAATATTCTAGCTAGCTGATGAAGAAAGTGGCCCCTGCACTGATCAGTTGAAGAAAAAAGCACCTAAAGAGAGCGAGAGAGGGGGGGGGGTAAAGAAAGGATTATATAATTTGAGTAATGAGAACAGGGGAAAAAGCTCTACTTACTAAATCTATGTAAGAAAAAAACACAGGGATTACCGAGGTGGTATTTATAGAATCAAACTAGATATTTAAAACTTTCAAGTATCATAAATTAGTAATGCCTTTATCTAAAATACTGATGTCTCCAAGAGTGTGAGTGACCATCCGAAGAAATTGAAAATAACAGGTTCTATACAAACAGTTGGTTTAAAAAGGTTTATTTGATTTAAAAAGATGAATTTTATTATTTTGAAAATATTTTCTTATAAATCAAATTTCAGTATCAACATGCTGAACAGTTTAGAGATAAAGCAACAACATTAAGCAATATTAATACTGGTCATTACTTGGAGTGGTGACCATTCATGATGATTGGCAAAATTTTCTTGGAGGTTTTAGGAGTCCTAGCTCTTTATAATAGAAATGAGGGAATTGGAAAGAGAAGAGAGTTTTTCTTAAATGATGTACTCATTTTGGAGATAGCTAACTCCTATCTTTTTATGATTGGATACAATAATAGGAACAGAAATGCTATACAAAACTTGAAAACTAAAAGCAAAGAACAAAATCTTCAGTTGGGAGAGGAAATAAAAGTTGAGTGAAAAATCTATCATAAGAAATCAATGTTCAGGTTTTTTTTCCCTTTGAATGAAAACATTTTTGCATTTAACAAAAAATTTTGTCAGTGTTCACTTGTGCTGTAAATACAGAACCAAATGACAAATATCAGATTTGGGATCTACTCTTTTGAGAAAGCTGGTTTATATATATTTTCTAAATTTCCTTAGAAAGATTTTTTCTCTTTAATTTTCCATCTGTGAGAATAATTCTTTAAAATATCAGTTTTAATAAACATGAGAGAAACAGAAAACGTTTTGATATTTGCCCATCAATTTGAAGAAACATTCAACATCAGCTTTAAGATCTTTTTTTAGAATATCTTTTGCAAAGCAATTTTTTCATCGTTTTTTTTTCTTTTTTTTAAGGATTTATTATTGATGTTTATGACCGGATATGATATTTACCAGTAGGTCTTGTCATAGTGAATTTGGCCAAACAAAAATTGTTGCATATATAAAAATATGTTGAAAAAGTGCTTATAAAAGTTGAATAAGTAGAGAAGAAAGAAGCTAAGATGAAATGGGAAAATATTTTACTTGGTTTCATAATATCAAATTCTTTTTTAATTTTTTTTATAGTAAACTATTAGGAAAAAGTTTAAGAGTTGGCTCAAAATATATCACAATCATAGGAGGAGGAGAAATTGATGCAATGTTAGGTCAAGCGAAAATTTTACTGTAAATGTTCCGAAACTAGATTTGATCCTATTTCTTCAAGTTTGGTATATTTCGTTTTTCATTTTCTCTACTGCTAAATAGTAATTTCCTTATTTTAAAAAATATGAAACTGATAATTTAATAATGGAAGTAGGCATTACTAGACCCATTTAAGAATACAAGATTCACTTTACACACACACAGGCTAGAAGGATGAAAGGGGCGGACAGAAATTGATGCACCACAGTCCTGTGACATATATATATATATATATATATATATATATATATGTGTGTGTGTGTGTGTGTGTGTGTGTGTACAAATATATATATATATATATATATAAATAAATAAAAATTGAGGCATAAATACGTTCACAGAACATATTTCTTGTATGTAAATGAAAAAAAAACAAAAACAAACAAACTTTCTTTTAAAGGGCTTCATGACTTACTTTGCTGGTAGTTTTAGGCCTATTCAAACTGTAACAGAAATATCTATTGAAACAAAATGAGAAAATAGACTCTGCATTATGGTCAAGTCATTTCCAAAGAGATATGCAATAAAGGTCATCATGATCATCACCAAAAATGATTCCGTCAAGTAGGGGCGGGGATAACTGGCATGTGGCTAAACATTCCCAAATTACACCTCTGGGTTTGTCTATTTTGCATTTTAACATGGGAACAGGAAGTCTTCTTATTCAGTTTTGAATAACTTCTACTTCTGTTGCTACCATTCAAGTTTTAAATAGGCCAAAATGTGCCCAAAACCTTTTTACTCGGGACTACATTTGTATTATTTATATTATTTCATGATACTTGAAAAAAAAAACAACAAAACATGGTAGGTGTATAACAAGTGGTTCAGATTTGTTTTACACTATTCAATGTATAATCAAACCTTGTTCTTTCTTCCTCACAACCAAACATCTAATTTAATCTCTTTAGAATCTTGAAGGTTAGACTATAGGATGTAGACATTTAGTTGTAAAAGGCAAAGTAACAAAAAGTAAGGAGTTTGTTTTTTTTCTTTTTGGGTGTCCAAACACATTAAAACCTATGTCTGAATTATTTTTATCTATTCAAGATGAACCATATGTAAACAAGATTTGCAAAAACATCTCCTTGTCATTTTCATCATGTGAAATAAGTCACAGTGAATTCTGGTGATTGTATTTTTTTTTTTTTAAATATTATTTTGACAACCTAACATTTATAAAGTTCAAGATGATCATCCCCTGCCAATGATGAAAATCAGCCCTGACCATACCTCAATCTCAGTTATTTAATAGTTAGAGAGAGAGAGAGAGAGAGAGAGAGAGAGAGAGAGAGAGAGAGAGAGAGAAAAAAAAAAATTTGTTTCGCTTCTGCTGATTTTTTGCAAACCTCTCCAGTGGGAAATCTAAAAATAACTGAATAAAAAGCAGTGTATAGACAACCAAAGAATCCCTGTTTTTAGATGTGTGTGTGTGTGTGTGTGTGTGTGTGTGTGTGTGAGAGAGACAGAGAGAGAGAATATGCAAATGTTTAGGAATTAAAAAAAAAAAAAAAAAAAAAAAAAAAAAAAAAAAAAAAAAACTGCTCTGCTTCTGGCCACCAACAATCCAAGTTTCAGCTCCTGAAATGACAACAAGGAAGAAAAAGTAGTAAAGTTAAAATGTCTCAACATCACTGCAAGAGAGAGAGAAAGAAAGAAAAGACTGACACCATAAAACAGAAATATATTGAAGTAACTTGAAAGATTGAAATAACTAGTAGTATAAAATTTTAACAGACTTTTACAAGTAAAACATTTATGTCTATAATGATTGCAGTGAAATAATTCCTGGTGTTTATTATGAGTTATTTTATTAATTACTGCTAAGATTCACATAATTTCGAACTAACATTCTCACCTTTAGTTCTTTTGAAAGCAATTGGCAATCTCTTGGATCACCTCCAGGTAACAAAAAAAGATTTACAGATATTCAACACTGATGATGATGATTAATAAGTTTTAAAGTGGGGAAAAAAAAAAACAAAAAAACAAAAACAAAAAAAACGGGCAAATTCAGGTATTACAAGAAACAATCGGAGTTGAAGGTTTCATTTCCAAAGAAAATGTAGAGTTGACATTTCTAGGAAGCATGTAACCTTCTCAAATTAGTTAAACTTTCTCAATTTGCTTTGATATGCCTGCCTGTAGTTTGAGAAGCAGGCTACAGTAAATTCTATAGTAAGAAGCCACATTTAATCTCATAAAAGTCAGGGTTGAGGCATTTCAATTGTTGAAATATCTGTGTGATGTAAAATACAACACAAAATTGGTTTTCTTTTTCTCCATACAGAATTTGATTTGGCTGAATCACTTGAATAAAAACTGTAGACATCAAATAATGCCAGTAACTTTTCCTTTGAAGTTTGAAAGATGATATTTAGAGGTTCCTACACAAATTAAACTTTATAACTCATTCAAGAGTGAAACACAAAGTCCTGGAAAATGTCTGTTTATATAATAAAGTACAAGGATTGTTAACTGAAAACATGTTTTCTTTATTCATTTCATGTCAACAAGGCCATGTCTGTTTTTGAATTCCAGGCACTTGGATGACTCGACATGCTTATAGAAGATATATAGCAAATTGTCTAGCCTGACATGATATTTCAACATCAAGAGAAAAAGAAAATTGTCACCTGAAGATGCTTGGAAAAACTGTCAACAAAGTTGCTTAAAAAGAACAAAGATGAGGACATTAGTCCAAGGAGATCCAGAAATACAAAACGTCTGAAAAGTAACTCATTATTTGAAACCATGACCTAATCAATTTGAATTCATCAGTAAATTTTAAAATAATAAACAAAACTTTAAACCATGATAGTATCTAAAATATTTTAAAGGAAAAAAGAATTGTATATTTTTTTCTTTGGCCCTAAACAAGCAATTTATAAATTGAATCAAATTGAAGTGAAAACTTTAAATTGTAGATTTCTTAAAGGAAATCAAGCCCACACAATCTTTAAGAGTTAAAATTTACATTACTGACATACTTTTAATAAAAATGTAAACTTAATGATAAAAAGTTAATTCATATCAGAAAATTAACTGTATGCCTATAAGAATATAGAAAGTATTAATTTTTTAAACAGGTTAAAAGTATGTCCAGAAAAGTGGGAACCTAAATCAAGCAAGATCTACAAATATTCACATACATACACAAACACACAGAAATGGCTAGAAAAAATAATCTAATTCACTTAACAAAATCCTAAGTAAGGGAAGGAAAATTTAATGTGACAAATTCTACTTTCAATTGGTAAATAGAAACTCTAGTGCATAACAAAGGAGGAAGTAAACTCTCAGTACTGGAGGGGAAAATCTGCCAAGGATGTTGAATGATAAATTTGAAAAAGGATTTTGTTAGAACATTTTTGCTGACAGGATTCCAAAATGTTTTTGTTGGCTTTTGACAATAAATGTCTTTATATGAAAGGAAGTGGGGTAATTAAAACAGTATTCACATCATTGGCAGAACAATGAAAGATAAATCAATTAGAAAGAAAAAGAATATTGTGAAAATGATAAGGGGTTTGGGGTTGAATAATACTAGATTAGCCGACAATATAGAAAGTGGCACACAAGTGAAACAACATTCAATCCAAATCAATAATCAAATGTGAATAAAATTTTTCAATTGTTGTTCTTATTAAAGAAATTGTTCAAATGACAATGTTCTTCATTGCAATTTAAACTAAGTTAAACATTTACTCATGCTATTTAAAACTTTCTTAAATTATAGACCTGTTATTTAAACTTACAGGATTTTACAATCATTAACATGAATCTATACTGATAATTTATTCAAAGTATTTTTTATTGGTCTGAATATTTTAAAATTGCAAAACAGATTTTCTCATCCGAAGTTAAATGCTACACAAGAAAAATCTCAAATTTCTTTTGTATTATTATTATAAAAAAAAAAAAAAATCAGTTTTATTAATTTATCTGAGACAAAAATGTATTAAACTAAATTATTTAGTAAGTATTAATTATTTTTCAATTCTTATTTTTTTTTGGGGGAAGGATTAGTTGGTGATATCAGGATGGCTCTGATCTACATACAGTTTAGAGCTGAATGAGTTTAAAGACATTTATAGTCAATTTCACTGGTGATAACTTTCTTGATGGCAAATGCATTTCTGGTGCAAGATGCTTATTCCAAATGTAAAGTCTCTTATTTTGTTATGTTTGTAGTATGGCAGCAGATGTGGAATCTTCCCATCAATAACTCTTTTTTTTTTTTTTTTTTTTTTTACTTTGTTACAGATGGCTCTCTGGTATGAAAGTGTATAGAAAGCAGAGATATGTCACTGAAGAAAAATTGCAACTGTTGATACTTACAGAAACCAAACAGTGGATATGAGCACAGTTATATGTTTCAGCAGTGGCAAGAGTAATGTATATGACAAACCACATTCTGGGCAGCCTTACATGAAATGAAGTGTAACATAAAAATACATAACCAATAGTATTTTTATAACTGAAAAACTGGCTCTCTCTATCCAAAAGTGTTTCCTCCCTATCTGTTGTAGTTTCCATAGAAATAAGAGACATTACTTTCAGAGCAGCTGTTGTGCAATTTTTTCATTTGTAAATCTCTATTCTTGTTCATAACGTTTTTTTGTTATCTTTATACTGAATACTGATCAAGCCTAAGAGAAAGCTTGCAAACAAAGCAATGAATGATCCCAAAACGTGATAAAATCAAGTACACTTTGTTTTATTAAAAGTGAAATTTTATCACATCTAGGTTGAGTTTGGGTCATTGAAAAAAAAAAAAAAAAAAAAAAAAAAAACAAAAAAAAAACATATAAATTAAGCCCGAATTCAAGTTTCACTTTTTTCCTTTAGGGAAAAATATAAACAAATAAAAAAAAAAAGTATTTTTACAATTATATGTGAACTACATAAATAGTAAAACGATTCAGTAGCTGCCCAAAGATTTTTTTTACTAAAAAAATTAATCATTTGAGTAGGTTGATATTGTTACACATATAATATATAAGTATGTAAATTAGGTACCTCCACTTGCTTGCTGAAAAAACAGCATAGCATGATGAAAAAAGTCCCCAAACTTAATAAAAACAAAATTTTATCATCAAAATATTTTTTATATTTAAGAGGAAAGACCAAAGTATTTTTTTTAATTATTTTATTAAAGTTTTTAATACCTTCTAACATGTTCAAAATTTTGGTTAAAAATCCTGTTTTTTATTTTTATGTCAGTGGTTGATGCAATATTTATGATTAGTATTTTTTGACTTTTTTTTCCAGGTAAAAAACATTGATTTGGAAATTGTTGCAAAAATCAAATAATTGTTGGATTTTAATGAAACTTTCAGTACTTATTCACAAATGAATGAAATTATTTTTAAAATTTTTTGATGAATGATGAATTTTTATAAGAATTGTTTTCATTTTTTTTAAATTTTAATTATAATAATTTAAATCGTTTAATCTGGTTAAATGATATTGTTATTAAGTAAAAATTACATTTATGAATCAAAAAATGAAAAGCTTAATAAAAGTAGTTTTTTACCCACAATATTTTTAAAATAATTAAAAATTTTTTTTTTTTAAAGCATAGAAACATACATTCCCATTTTTGTAAGTATGGATGTCAGTCAAGTGTTTCAAGAGTTGTCCTCCCTAAAAATCTGTAATTCTTTCATTTTTGTGCATCATCATGTTTATGTCTCAACAGGATTTGCAAATCACTCCTTCAAAATTTTAAACTTTAAAATAATTTTTAATTCCTATTTTACTAAATATTTTATTTTACATATTTTAGTGTGGATCATACTTCAATTAAGTAACCTGGGGACAAAACCCAATATAATTCTACTAAAAAAAAAAAAAAAAAAAAAAAAAATTTTTTTACTTTAACTTAAATTAATTTTTTTTTAATCCAATTTCTATTTGAAGTTCTTATTTTTTAATTTGCATGTCATTTTGAAATTTCCCTTCACTTTAACTCCTATTTCATAAAAATGTTTTTTTTTTGTTAGCAATTTCTTGTTTTTATTTATTTATTTTTTTAACTTTATTCTTTTTCGTGAGAGTTATTTTAATAAAAACCTAAAGCTATAAATAAATATATAAGTAACTAAAATTCAATAAAATATTAGATAATTGCTGAAAATGTTAATTTTAAAAAATTACTAGGTAGTCAACCAAAAACAAAGTGTTCACTTAGATTTTGTAAATTTGTCAATTTCTGGTCGACCATACTTAACTTTTTAACACCGTAGGTTGCCAATCAATCGATTAACATGTCAGAAAAACAAGACACTGATTAAGAAATGCTTGTATACGTTTTATACTATAAGTAATATTTGTTTCAAATCAGATTAAATTAACTTTCTAATTTTCCTCAAATAACGTGTCACATATATATATTTTATTTTTGGAAAAGTTTTAAAACTGAGAAGTAACTTTTATTCACAAATGTGTCAAAAATTTTAAAAACGATTTTCTGAAAGCAACCAAAAAGTTGACATTCAAATATAATTTCTAATTGAAATATACCAGAGTATTTTGTTTACTGGAAATAGTAACTTTAATCATTTAGCTTTCAATTAAAGCTAAAAAGAAAGATTCAAGAATGATTTTTCATTTTTTTTAAAAATTCATTTTGAATCTTAGGTATTGAAAAAGTATTTAGTGGAGGTCCCTAATGTAAATGCAAGCTCATAGTCAAATGTAGTTTGCTTGGAGGGGAATCTATAAGATTCTTCACCAATATAAATTTTAGTGCATAAAAAGTGTTATCAGTATAGGAAAGACTATGAAAATTTATTATCAGACTGAAATGAAGGTTACACCTGACATTGAGTTTAGAGTTTTTGCTGCTTCTTTATTCATTGTCAGAACAATTGTGATGCCACTTGTCTACCATGACCCAGTGACCCCAATAAAGTAATTTTAACAAGTTTATAAGTAGTAACAAAATACATGGATCAGTGAGAGGAAGCAATTCAGTTTCAGGGTACAAGAGATTTGCATTCAATTTCAAAGTTTATTTAGCTTCAATTATTTTTATTTTTTGAAATAGCATTACTGTTAATTCTGTCCAGATAAGTGTTCAATTTCTAATTTATGTTGGACAACACTGTATGGCAACTTTCAATTGGTCAACTTTAAAAATATACAAGAAAAAGGTTGACAATTATTTTAGACATACCATCACAGATTTTGTTTAATTTAGGATCATTTATTTTCCCCATGAAAGACAATTTTAGGTGATTTGTTGTTTAAAATCACCTCAATCATTAATTTAACAATGTCTGGGATATTTTTTTTTTATTTACACTATGAAAGTTGGTCTTTAACCAATTCATTTTGCATGTGGGACATCTTAACTTTTAAATTTCTAATCTTGTTCTAGGAGTCTAAGAGAAAGCATACAAGGCAATGAATCATCTCAAAGGGTGATAAAATGAAGCACACTTTGTTTTACTGAAGTTTTATCAAAGCCATGTAAAGTTTGGATCATCAAAGATTAGTTTTTTTTCCAAAAAGAATTGCCACATAAGTATTTAGAACCCCCCCGCAAAAAATGTAAAAATAGAGAATTTACTGGTATGCCCTTTTGTAATTGTCAAATTTAAAAATGGAGCATATCATTTTTAACTGACAAAAGTTCAATGTCAGTTAAAATGAGGTTAAACTTTGAAAACATTTTTGAATGCAAGCATTTTCTCTATCCTTCTCAAAGATATGCAAACAATTTTTAAAGCAATTAGCAACATTTACAATTTTCACAAATAGAGTAAATGGTTTTAATCAGTTTAAAGCAGAATTTTATATTCTTAGTGTTATTTAAAAATAAATCTTTGCTTTTTACCATACTATAGAAGAGATATTTTTGTAAAAGTGATTCCCAATTCAAATTTTCCCCGAAGAAGAGTGAGCTTTTTAATGTTTTGATATGGAAGAGATGATTGCAAAGATTTCAAGATACATTGAATGGTATGGTATAAAGCAAAGATTGATTAAAAAAAAATAAATTTATATAAAGTAAAAGGCTAAATTTGCATCTAACTTGATTATTATTATTTTGAGGACCTTAAACTGAATTAAAAAAAAAAAAAAAAAAAAAAAAATCAAATTGGGCAGCAAGTCTGATCCATGTAATCATCATCATCATCATCATTTGTTTAACTTTTCATTTACTCATTCTTATATGCATATATTTTTTTAGTCAATCCACAAATCAAACCTCGACCGGTTGGATCCAGATTTTCGGCTTTTGGATCTTGAACGTGACCTTGAACGTGAAGACGACCTAGACCGGGAACGTCGTCTTTTTCTAGAGTTCTGCCTTTCTGATGAGCTGGACCTGTTATAGATCAGGTAGATGTTACATTGACAATTCACGGTAATAAGAGATGAACAATGAACAAAGAAAATAACTCTTCACAAAACAGAGAGAGAAAAAGAAATATAACAAATATTGGCATTTATTGAAAAGGAATGATAACATGTTGCATTTTAAAGAAAGGGAATGACTAACCAATGAAAATGAATTGCAAGAAACTCTTTAATTGGTTGTGTTCTTTCTCAGGATAACAGAAATTTTTTCCCCCTTCCCTGCCATATCTTCACTTCTTGACTCATACTGGCAAACAAAATCTTTTTTTGTTTGAGAACAATGGAGAAATTGAAAGAGAAAGAAAGAGAGAGAGAGAGGAAATCAGAGATCACTGGATATAACATATAATACAGTGGAAGGTTCAAAGTGTGCAGCAGATGAAACTGATGTTCATCCAAATATATAAAATAAATAAGGGTAAAATTACATGCAATGAACATTTACCATATAAAGAATTTTATTTGTTTATAACAATTGATGAAGAAAAATGTCAGTCTGGATATGTGACAATATAATTGCATGAAATGAAAGACAATTGAGAAAACTTGATGGGAAATCAGAAACGGTTTTTTTTAGTTGATTTTTATATAAAGAGAAATACTAAAGCTTCAAGAAACTGTATAAAAATGGAGTTTATGGCTATAAAGGTACTCATGTAAGGTGGTTGACATTATGCTACTTTTACATACCAATTTACTAAGGTTAGAGAGTTTCATCATTCAACAGACTGTCAGTAAACACATGAGAATATTTGAATCAAAATAATTCAACATATCAAATAGAAAAGTGTCTGAATGGGATCCCACAAAGCAATTAAAGTAGATTTGTGAAGAGTTGTAAACAAAACTAAAATGGGGAGGGGATAGCCCCGCATCAAACAAAGCTGAAAAAAAGAAACATTTTCATTTGGGAAAAATAAAAAGAAAAAAGTTATCAAGAATATTCTCATTTTCACTTATGTTAGGTTTTTGTAGATTTCAAAAATGCTTAACTGAAACATAAAAATTCCTTGCAGAATGACCAACAAATATGAAAATAATTTTATTTGTAGATTTTAAGGAACATTCTGCTTTTCATTTCTTTCTTTTTTTTTTTTTTTTAAACACTTACTTTTCTTTAATAAAGAAAAGGCAATTTCATGACAAACAAAAAGTATTGGTACATTGTATGTACAAATGAAATTGGTTCTTGTTGAAAAAGTTACTAAATATAAATTGTGGTTTCTGTTAACCACATGAACCAAGTTAGAGCAACTAATATTTCTCTGACTATTTAAATTTTACCTCAAGTTGCCAAGGGATAAAGAAATCAAATCTCATTGAAAAGCACAAAGAAAGGGGAAATGGAAATTCAGAAATTGATGCGATTTTGTCAATACATTTTTTATTCTCAGTTAAGTATCATAATCATAAACTGCTGGTCTTTTAGCATGGATGATTTATGAGATTTATGTAATCACCCTGTGTTCTATTTACTTACATCAAAAACTGCTAAAACAAATAGCAAGTGAATAACTGAGAAAAAGTCATTCCAGCTTAAAGTAAGAGAATCAAAGATGCGCATTTAATGGTGCATCATAGAAATTAGATTCCTGAGAGAAGTAAAAGAAAATATTGAGATATTCAACTTTTCTTTGAGGGTTCATCTATTTCTAAAAAACTTGCTTAGCAGTAACAAGACAATGGCTAGAGTTAGTTGCAGTGGAATGGTGGACAATTTACCCGTTTTACCAGTTACCTGGACCTGGAGCCGGAGCGGGTTCTCCTCCTCTTCCTCCTAGCTGATGATCTGTGTCTGGCAGATGTTGAGCTGGATACTGACGATGATCGAGAACGGGAATGAGATCGGGACTGGCTGGAGTGTGAACGTGATGATCCACTTGAAGAAGAAGGACTTCGAGAATGACTTCCAGACCCACTGTGCGACCGACTGCGAGAACCTGAAGAAGAGCTTGAACTGCTACGAGATCGGGATGAGGATCGGGAGCGTGACCGCGATGAACTTGTCCGTGAATCTGACTTGCGATTTTTTAACTTGTCATTTTCCTCATCAGATTCCACCAAATTGTATTTGGACAAATCTCCTTCTTCATCATCATCATCATCCTCCTCCTCCTGCATGCAGAAAGAAAAATCTTTTATTTTTACCTTTCTTTTTTAATACAATTTAAAAAAAAAAAAAAAAATTTTTTTAACTCCAGTACATCAAGTGCATTTTATTAAGACATTTATGTAAACAAAATTATTATATACTGTTCTCCCAAGTCTATCAATGTTTAAAATCTAAGTATGAACAAAATAATAGAAAATAGTTATCTCATTAACACTTGAAATTTCCTTTATTGGGCAACAAAATTTTTTTTTTTAAGTTGTCTATGTTTTTCCAAATGATTTAGGACAATTCTTCACTGCTGAATCTTAAAACGACATCTGTTTCTTTCAATGATGTCATGTTTTTGTACTAAGTTGAGTTTTAAAAATCAGATCATCTGACTAAATTGATTACGTTTTTGTGACATTATCAATTGAATTTTATTAATTTCCCATACAAAATAAGTTTTTAAGAAAAAAGATTGTTTTCTGACAAATTATTAATTAAATTTTACAAACATGGATTATAATAAATAGTAAATTACATGTTACATCATCATTGTTCAAAATTCATGGCTTGAAATTCTGTTTATTCAAATGCTTAGAATGCTGGACAATCAGCCATCAGTACTGCATCCCAGCATCCCTCATACCAGGTCTCCATCTCTTTCATGTCGTGATGGACACCACCCCCTTGTTGTTCATTGATCCCAGATTCTCAGGAAACAGATTCACATGTGAGAATAATGCATTTTGATGCTCAATTTGCATCAAAGGTCTCTGAAAGCAGTCAGCATATTGATAAGTTCTGCATAGTTCTTGGCTTTGAACAAAAACCTTCCATGCTTCCAGTTCCACTTCATACAGTGAGTTTTCAAACTCTGGATCTCTGATGAGCTGATGGATTTGGGGACTATCAAAGATGTCAGCTTTCAACTTCCCCATCATCAATCCTGGCACAAGAAAGTGCCACCATCCTTGTCCAGAGCTATGGTGAACTGCTTTACCAAGCTGAGTTTGATGTGGAAAAGTATCCAGTCTCTGTCCAGCAAGAGGCTTACTGATGGTGTTCATTGGTCTGCAAGGCATCAATTCCTCCCAAACAAGCCTGTCCTTTTTCGTGTAATGCTGAGCAGTGTCTCTACTATCCCACATGAACAGAAAGCATGGGTATTTGGTGAACCTGGATCGTTGTCCTAACAAAAAATTCACCATCTTCAGGTCAGTGCAAATAAACCACTCATGCTGAACATAATGAATTTTCTCCAGCACATACTTTGCTGCTTCATACTTCTCATTTAGTGAAGTCTAGTGAATGAGGAGTATAGAGGCAAGTAGTTACCATTGTGTAGCAGAACACTTTTCAGTGATTGCTTGCTGCTGTCAATGAACAGTCTCCAATCTTTGGGTTCATACTGTGGCAGTCCCTTTGAAGTTTGGTCAGTGCTGCCGAGTCATTTCTTGATAGTGTGTATAGAGGTGAATGAGGTCTTGAATATCAGCAGTTAGAGTGATATGGCCCTTAGTGGAATCTGAGAGAATGTTGCCGAGATCAAACAGTGGTTTTTATACTGTTATTCCTGAGAAATCGGCTCCTGAATTATATAATTTTACTTATTCCTAATTGGCCCTAAAATGTCATGTGGTATGCTTACTACTACATCCACATGATATTTTTGGCAGTATACCTAAGTTATGACTAATAAAACAACCTTCCTGATTTGTATTTTATGCTTTTGAATTGTACAGTATAACTGGTGTGTTTTGAGATATAAGCACTTTATTGTGTATTATTGGTTTATAAATATTTTGGTGGTGTGTTTTAATGTTTATGTAGCTATTTTTGGCTGAAAATACTTCTGATGACAATAAATTTGGTGTTGATCAGTGATAAAATGAAAATGGTAAGCACACTAATAAAAACTGCAATGTCACTAGACCAACTTAACAGTCATAAAGGTTGTATTATATTAAAGGAAATGAAAAAAAAAATGGGAGTGGGGAAACAGTTGAAAAGGGGCCTCAAGAAGGAATGCAGTGGCCATGGGGGATGACGACATACCTCTGATTCCAATTTGTATTTGGAAATGTCAGCATCTTCATCCTCTTCCTCCTCTTCTGCAGCTTTGATAACAGGTGATTGGGATTTAATCTTATCAGCTGCATCTACTTTGCGGTATTTTTTCTTCTTCCGCCCAAACTAGAAATAAAGAACTTGAATAGAAAGAATTTTTCTTTCCAATTCCTAATTTAAGTTTTTATAATTTCTAAATATTTGAAAAGTGCATGAATTAAAACTGAGAATTCCAGTTAAGTAAATTAGGAAAACACTATAAAAATTTAATTACCTCATCATATTCATCATCAGATTCATTTCTTTCGATATATTCAACAACTTCATCTCTTTCCATATAGCCACCTCCATAACCTAGAAAAGACAGAGACATTGTAGAAGAGATATTGTCACTGTCAAGTTGTAAAAGAGCTAGTGATAAGTTTCATGATCAACAATATTTTGGTAAATGATAGAATGGAGAGGGGGGGGGATGGTTACATAAACAGAAATGTCAAAGACAAAAAAAAGAAAATTTTTTTTAGTTACAAGTGTATAAATACAAATATCTTTCCAAATGTTTGTGCCATGTTAAGAGAGAAATACATGCAATACGTGTAGTTCTGGGCAATGATGAGCATCACTGTTTCTGGGAAAAGAAGATTGGTGCTGTCTTTATAAAATGTCAGTGAATGAGCTTACCTGTTCGGGGCTCAATACGGCCATATTTGGGAGCATTGCACATGTTACAGGCAGTTCTTCTAGCCCAATTTACATTTCCACAGCTGGAGAGAGAGAAAACAGAAAAGAAAAAAGACAATTTAAAGGAAATATTAAAAAAGAAAAAGAAAGCTAATTTCAACAATAATAGTCACAATAATCAGCAATCTAGTAGTATATTGTATCAAATCAATTGCTATGAAAGGCAATTCACTATGTTATCAAAGACAATTTTTCTTGTCAGAATCTATCTTGTACATTTATAAGTCCATTAAGTGAATATTGCTGCCAATCTGGTCCAGTGCAATCACTTTCCCAACAATAACATAGCTTTCCTATGCTTTTTCTATAAATATTTTCATGCCAATTGTTCTGATGAGCTTTCCTCTTTGGTACTTTAATTTTATGAATTTAAGCATAATACAAAATTGTTAGCAAAGTCTCATTTTGCTGTTCAAATTGCTAGATGTAATTGTAAGTTCTATTATAATAGCTGCTTTTTTTTTCACTCTTTCTTTGCCTGTGGAACTTTCTACTGGCTTCTTGCTTTCCTGTCAACTACAATCTTCAAAAATTTAAAAGCAACTAAACATCAATCTTTTTCAATCCTATTCTTTTATTGTACTTTCTCCTCAATGTTTTCTCAATTTCTTTCATTCCATAAGCCCTTGCATGGAGTGAAATGATAAAAATAAATCTTAATAAAATCTTTTATGTAGATCTTTTAAAAACATTAAAGTGAGTCAAAGTTTGTAATCTCTCATATTGCTTACAGCATCTTTAAAACATATGTATGTATACACTTTGAAAGAAATTGGACAACATAAGTGTAATATTCAGACGAAGATGAGGTTTTCTTTCAATAATAAACATGTGCATGCTGACTACTGTTAGTCATGAAAAATATCCTTACCTTTTACATTGCCAATCATCAGCACTGAATAACCCTCTGCTCTTCTCTGCCATTGCCTTTCCAATCTCAGTGCCTCCTTTTTTATAAGTAACTCCATCTTTCTTTTCAGCTGAACAGGAAATAAATTTATAAGCAAAAAGTAACCAGGAAAAGACACCACATTAAAAAATATTAGAGGTTAAATATTTGTTAAGTAAATGGAAAAACCAAAATAAAGTGAAACCTAAACAACTCGGATTTAAGTTTTCAATTTTCATTGCATTTAAATAAGTTGGAATTTCTATTTAAAAGCTGCCAGAGGTTTTTTTTTTGTTTAACTCAAACAAAAAGGACATTTTTAGTGTTTGTTTATATTATTTGAAAAGTATTTTATATGCTGAAAGGTTTTTAGTCTAACCCAGTTGCTAAAGTCCAACGAAACATAAAAATTTTATTGAATCCCTCTTTGGTGGGATAAATGAGATTTCAACACTCCCACCCCCTTCTTTACCACTTCCAAAATAAGCTGCATTCTGAAATACGTTTTATACATGCCTATGAGTTGATGTATTAGCTAAAAGTACACTTACCCATATTAAATGTTTTTCTTTGGGCTAACCAGGACAAATATTTAGAATTCTGAAATTATAAAAATAAATGAGAGTGAGAGGGGATGAGACACACAGAGAAAGACTTGAAATTTAAAATGTAAATTAAGAAAGACAGAAATGTAAAATGTAAACCAAATTTTTTCAGCTTGGATATCATGACCTAACCGACCTGGACTATATCAATGACACAGTGCTGTTCAGCTTGGAGGGGGCACTCTGCATGTTCAATGAGGCTTGAGCTGCACATGAACTGGTCAAAGACCAAATTGGGAGATGGCTCCAATCCACTGCCCATAACCATGTTTAGTTTGTCATGGCTTTCATATACTTGGCCTCAGAAGTTTCCAATGGCAGTGACTTCAACATACATCATGTAGATCAAAAGACAACATGGACTGGCTGCAGGTGTCATGAACCACTATGGTGGCAGTGCGACATCTCCTGATGCACCAAGCTATGAGTTTACAATGCCACCATTCTCTCTCTCTCTCTGCTATTATATGGTGGCATGACACGTCTAATGTCCAATGAGGAGCTCTACCAAAGGACCAGCCAGCAAAACATCCTCTGCACTGGTGCTCAGCGCAGTGTTCTCTGGCTTGGTCAATGCCTTGTGATGACCTGATGACCAGAGTCATGTACTAGTTCAATGTGTCATCTGCAAACTGGCAATGACCTTGCGGCAGACCATGCAGCCGCTGGAAGGATGTCATCTGCCAGGACCTTCAGCTGATTAATCTGGCACTGGAGGATGTTCCAATGCTCTGCCAAGACAGTGAGCTGAAGTGAAAAGGTGGCCCTCATGAGCTCAACATGTTCATGGTATGAGATTTAGCAGTAACAGTAGAATGCTTAAAGTAAAAATGAGAAGTGTTGAAGTTGAAATACAAGAAAGTAAATGAGAAGAGGTGGTTAGTTTTAGTCAATCAAAATTTAATTTTATCACAAATTTCACTAGTTCCCATCAAAGCAGACAATGGACAAGTTTAGTGATCATATTCTTTTTGTTGTTAACACACTTCAGTTGATCTATTCTTTGGTGTATTATAAGATGGGGAGTTGAAACAACTCTTGGAACAAGAACCATCTCATAGTTGCTGAAAAGAAGTTCAGATTTGGTTGAATTTAAATAGAGAGAGAAAAAGAGCAATTTGAAAATATGAGCACAAGAACAATTCTAAACTCAATGAGAAAACTTTCCTTATAGTATTTATTTTCCTGACAAGCACAAAACTCACTGTACTTTGGATTATTCCCTACAGCTCATTTATCCCTGAAGAATTGCAACAACAAAGACAGAAACTTTAAAGTCCTACAGTTTGCTGTTTTTTTTGTTGCAGATGTCTCTTCCTTTTCAGATGTCCCTTGAATCTATAGGAAGCTGCCTGCTGAAAATGTAACAGGGTGCAACACAATAAATGTAGTAGTCCATTCTAGTCCAAAGCAAAATTTGACAATCTTCATTGTTTATATAATCATCTGCATACAATACCAGAATATTCATAAAACATATCTGAAACATTTTTTGATATTAAATACAAAAATCAAACAATGCTTTGACATTCAACTTGAGCATAAGAAAGTACTGCCAGGAAAATTACACTTTGCAATGTTCACTTGAATAAAGAAGTTGAAATCCCCAAAGCGTCCCCAGTTGTAACTTTTTTTAATTTAAACAATTTTTAAAAAGAAGAATTATTAGTAGTAATTATCAGCAACAATTTACATTGCAATAATAGTAAGTGTCTGTCAAAATATATTTTTTGTATTTTAAATGTTAAAAGCATATTATCCTCTGCACCCTAGGATATAGGGTGATTCCTTTATGTTGAAGCTGTTATTAAAAAAAAACTTGTGGGTAAACTAGGTATGTATGTTGTCATATTTCAAACTGTAAAGTAGGATAATAGATTTAGCATTAATATTATTAATATTAGAATGTTGCAGAATAAGTTATTCCCAAAACCACAATAATCCAACTCCAAAATGGATATCTTTCTAAATATTAACTAGAGTGTCAAGTTCTCCATGATACAGAAAAACGACCCCCTCCCAAAAAACACAGAAATAAAGTGGAAAATGAGATTTTTCCTACTAAAAAATAAAATATCCCAACAGTAAAATGTAAAAATTTCCAAGTTGAAAATCTACTGAATCATTTTGCATAAATTTGCATAAAGTCAGTCACTTATGTGACTATAACCTATATTGTTGCAACATGTCATTCTATAAATAACATGGGGTATTTTCCACCACTGATCCCAGCAAGCGGCATAACCTAATTCATGATATTAACCTGGCTAAACCAGTCACCGCTGATCATTGCAGGGCAAATACCCACGTGATATTAGCAGATGAATAGTGTGGCATCTGCCATCAAGGGTAGTAAAAATAAAAGTTGTTTTTTTTCGTAATTAAATTAAATTTTTAAATGTTGGTTTGATTATCTTTCACAATTAGTAAATGAAAAACTAGCAAACTTGATGGATGCATACTTTTGGCAAAATACAGAGTGGACGAGTTAGTTTTCTATAATGATTTTTATCATGATGGTGATAAATTACTTTGCAGTTTTGTCAACACCCTATACATTGGACATGCATGTAGATCATCAGAAAACACTGAAGCACACACACACAAAAAAAAGAGATACCTATATAAGTAGGCTATGAATTTGTATATTTTACTATTTGCACACAAGTCTCTGTTTTTCATGTGTTTTTGAAACAAAACTGGAAAATTGAAATTTACTGTGACGGGAGAATAAGGTATTTGATATTTTAGAAGACTGAGAACTTGTCACTCTAATGTTAACCTTCATAGCAAGCATAAAAACTTAAAATTGTAACTTAACCACTGGAGCAAAAATGATATAAGTAGGCAAGTGGACAAATAAAGTAGAAAAACAATTGTCACATAAACTATGTCAGATAAAATAATGAAGTAAAGACGAACAAAAACAATTTTTTTTTCCTATTTCCAATCCTAGCATACAACTGAAGTTGAAAACTCATGTCAGAAAAATCTAAGTCAAAGTCACTGTGAGAGAGAGAGAGAGAGAGAGAGAGAGAGAGAAAACAAACCCTTAATTATAGACATGTAACATATAATAGGTAATCTGAAAATTCTGCCAGTTCAACACAATCAAGCATGGCTGTTAACCTTTTGAGTATTTTTCCCCTATAGAAAAAGTATTTCTTGTCTTAATCTCAAAAGGATAAACAGATTAATAAAGAACATTTGATTTTGAAGCGACTAAAATAGCTATTTTATCTGTCATGTTGATTAGCAGCAGGCAGGACAGAATTCTTCCTAAATTGTATTGATTATCAGATTATTGCCCATGTGTTACTTGTAGGACCAGCAAGAAAAAAACAATTCTTATTTGATTCTAAAGAGGTTCTAAATTTGATTTTCTGACATTTATTTTTCAATTTAGCAACAGTAATGAGACACAATTAAATAATAATTATGGAAAGATGACTAGTCAATAGTATTGAACTTTTAATAAACTGCTTTTCTAAGTTGAAAAAACAAAAAAAAAACAAAAAACAATTAACTTACTGCAGATTTCTGAACAACACTGATTGAGCTACAAACTCAGCACGCTCCAGTCCAATGTTTTAAAGCATAAAACCACTCCAATAAAATATCTATGCTGAGAGAACAGAAATGTTTTTACTTCAAGAATTTGGATGGTGCTTCATTCATTTTACTTCCTTGATAAAAAAAAAGTTGGTCCCTACTAAAAATATTTTGTCAGGAGACTATCCTTGGATATTCTGAATTTCATTAGAATTATTTTCTTGATGAAATAAAAATGAAGAGAATATTAAGTTGGAACAAGAAGTTGCAACAGAATCCTATTTTACTTTTCTTTTTTTTTTTTAAAAACACTTTAATTTACATATTTTAACATTTTCATTACAATAGACAAATATCAACACATGCACAACGGAATTAAGTTAATGTCATCATTCATTTTTACAATAAAAAAAAAAAGAAAAAGAAATTGTCCCCACCTCCATCTACTTGCAACTTATGAAGTCCTAATGGCATCATTGAAAACAGATGTTCCAATTGTCTGCTCTGTCTAATATTAAATTTTGAATCAACTGTCCACACAATCTGTCATTTTGATAAAGATTATTTTTAAAGTATAAAACATTAAGTAAAAATAGACTGATTTAAACAACTACAATTTCTGCAGTAATTCACCTGAGGATAAATCAGAAAAGATAGCAAGTTTAAAAAAAGTAAAAATAGAATAAAAGGTTCACTTACCTTTATGGGCTTAAAAAGGATTTCTAAGGGAACTTGATGTTAGCATATCTGAAAAGATAAATGAAAAAGCTTGTAGAAATTTTTTTCAGAGAGACAACAAGAGAAAAATCAATGTAGATGAATTTGCTAATGACTGGCCAAGTAGTACTACTCCAGAAAGTCATTTGTTCTCGTTTCAAAAACAGAAGGCAATGGTGATCAGAGCCAGGTAAGAAGTGTGCCACTTATTATCCTGTTGCCAATATATTTGGCATCTGTCTGGCAGAACTATGATTTAAATACTGGGACAAGTAAATTCCAGTTAATCAAGTTACCAATGAAAAGAAAAGAATTTTCTGAAAACTACAGAGACAAATTGATTGTCTTCAATATACAATTCTTGTGCAACACACTCCACTACTTCCCCTTTATCAACTAATTACTTTTACATTTCTGGAATGTGCAATAGAAAATTAGTAGGGCTAATTACAAACTGAACAGGAGGTGGTGTCATTGAAGAGGGAAGAAGACAAATAACTACACTGGTGAAAGAATGAAATAGTAGCAACAGTGATAATGATGAAAAGTTAAAGGTTAATATTTTGGACTTGTTTCTTGCTTATAATTTTAGTGTTATGAAAGATTTGTAGTAAAACAAGATGCCATTAGCATCTTTCCATAATTCTTTTTTAATTGTATCTTATTACTGTTTCTAAATTGAAAAAAAAAAGCAAGTACAATTTTGTGGCCTATTTCATGTCTCTAGTTTTGTTTGAATGAAGGAGTTATAAAAACAATATGACCAACCTGTATAAAAACTAGAAAACTTATAAATAAAAAGAGAGGAAGAAACTTCTGTAATGACCCCCTCCATAGTAGCATGGATTTTATAAAGTATCTTAAAGTAATAAAATATTTACAAGTTATTAGGTATATAAAATGTTTGTAAATTGATAATTTGGGCATTTACAATTCTTTTTGGCTTAATGAATCCTCAATCAGTAAATTTTGATAGGAAGTGTACATTTTTTTTTTAAAAAATTATATCAGTTAAACTTTTCCCATTTTGTCATTTTTCAAAATCATTTTGTGATTAATTTTGAATAGGGAAAAGTTTTGATTTCTTTGTAAATAGTAAAAACAAGAAAAACATCTTCAGAGATAATTTTCCTTGTTTGTCTTGGGTTTTTTATTTACTGTATTGAGAAATAATGTTTGTAAAGCCCATTGAAAATAAATAAGAAACTTGTCAGAATTAATACATTTTTGCAAGCATTGAAATGATGTTTATGCAAACCTCACTTAAATACATTTGTAAGGATTCAAAAAAGGTTCACATAACAATTTTGTTATGATTGTTTTAAAATATAATAAAAAAAATGTGATATGTGAAAAATAAGTGCGGACTTTATTCAAAAGGAAACATTTTCCAAAGAATGTTTTATTACAACAGAATTGCAAAAGAGAAAAAAGGTAGATTCAAAACTGGACTAACAGCTGCATTAAAATGTGTGTCTTGTTGACAGTATCTGTGTAGGACTTAAAATTGCCACATCCTGGGAGGCACTGATCCACCTAGAAGTATCTAAAGATACTCTTTTTGCTTAATGACAATATGATGAGATAAATTATTGCCTTTCTCATTTAGCAAAGCAGTGAACATATCAATTTGAGAAATATTTTTGTAAAAATTATTCACTAAAAATTGTGTAAAATATTTTAACATTTGTTTAAAATTTAAGCTTAAGACCAAATGGTTACATTGTAATAAATTTTGTAATAAATTAAAATTTTTTTAACTTATATGATTAATGCAGCTTATATAATAATAATAAAAAATTCTAATAGGCAAGGTGGAAGTTTTCATTGATTTTTTAGCACATTTAATGTGTTCATACTTAATATGAATTGAAAAAAATATATAAATGTAAAATTATGAATGAAGGATACAGCAAAGAACATTTGGACTAATCTCTCAACAATATTCTGACAATATCAAGTCTCATAGTGTCCGTAATTTTAATCACCTTGGTACTTGCTTATTCTGTCATAATATCAAGCAGTTTGACATGCTGATAAGAATTAAAGCTCTCATGTAAATGACCAAAATATACAGATTTTAATAAGAAATATGCATTTAGGTATTGAAATTAACATAGTTTTCATCTGGTAAAACCAGAGATGAATAAAAGAAGCCATGTCATGTTACAAAGAAATTTGCCCATAACTTCTATTTTTTGAGTCTTCGCTATTCTCGTAAATTACCAGAGTGTATTATCAATTAATAATCTCAAAAGTGCAGCAATTTTTTTTTTGAAAGAAAATAAATGTGAAATAATCATTCAATTCTGAGTACAAAACTGCATTTAAAGCTATTAAGATATTCAGTTTTATGGCCATGGGTGGGATGTATCTACATATAACACTTTGTTTAACTAAATGATAACAGTAGGCATTGCTCAAATATGAGGCATCATTGGAAAGTGTCTATTTCTTGGTTGAATGCAATCTTCAAGCCATGTGTGTCCCATAATGGCTCAAACATTTATATACGCTGGTTAATGGTGCATTATTGGTAGCAAGGTATAGTATTATCCTAATGGTTATTGGGTTGGTAGTAATTGTTATATTCCAAATTATTCTAGAAGCTATTGAATAGAAATAATTGTGGATCTGAATGTTATTTGTAGCTAGTGTATAGTGTTTCTTACCTTTTGACTCATTATTGATTACTTAATTATTATTATGTTGATTATTATTACATTCGTCTTTATGTATACATTCTTTACAGGGACAATGGCCTCATAATCCTAATAAACTGTAAAAGACAAAACCAGAAAAATAATCACAAAAAAAAAAAAAAAAAAAAAAAAAAAAATATAGTTTGTTTTTATGTCTGTCGAGTTCAGTTTAGTGATTATATTAGTTAAAAGCACAAGGCTTTGAGGAAAGCAAACCTAAAAGAAGCATATTTCCTAAACATCAAATTCAACCTGAAAAAAGGTACATATCAATCATACAGAAAACCCCACAACAAACTGCTTTACATACAGACATCTTCCAACCACCTGCCAACAATAATCAAGCAGATCCCACAATCAGTTAACTGTAAGTTATCTGACAATTCTTCGAATGAAATCATCTTCAACATAGCCAAAAAAGATTAGGAAACAGTCCTAAAAGATAGTGTATTTTTGGCAACACTCACATATGCATTCCACAGTACAAAAATGCAAACATATGGTTTAAACCACCACGCAACAAAAACATCAAAACAAATGTAGGAGAAATATTCATTAAACTCAAGCACTCTCCACAAGAGATTCAACAGAAGCACAGTAAAAATCAGCTACACTTACACTGAGAACATGCCACAAATATTATAAAAACACTTCAAAAACAAACCACCTGCACTAATCAAACCCACATGTAACTGCAGGGCAAAGAATGAATGTCCCTTAAATGACAATTGCATGCGAAACAATGTAATATACCAAGCCAGAGATGCAAATAGGTGTGTGCCGTGTCCCCGATGCATAAAAATCTTAAAAGGATGCAGTAACTTTTCCATCTGTGTGTCCCAGGGACGCAACTAAAGTTTCCCATACATAGATGTAACTGAAGGACACTGGAAATATACGTACAAAAAACATTCTTTACAGATAGTAAATACATGAACAGCACAAGGCTTTCTAAACATAAAGGATACCTTGTAAAATACAACCATGAAAAAAAAAAAAAAAAAAAAATCAAATATAAGCACTAAAACAATGTAGATAATGTAATGTATTTTAGATGAAGCCAATACTTCAAACTAAACAAATAAGATAACCAACCACTAGAAGAAAAAAAAAAAATCAAAATAAACAAATTAAGTAAATAATAAACTTAAACTATGAATGTACACATAAAGACATGTAATAATAACAAATAATTAGGTAATCAATAATAAATCATACTTATTATAAAACCCAGGTTGTGTGTCTGTTCGTTTATATATTGGATCGGATTTCCTACATTTTTCAACAAAATTTCACAGGACTGTAAAATTACCTTGCGGTGGTTCTGACAGTGCCAAAATTTGGAAAAACACAATTGTTTTTGCACAAAATCAATTTGAAAACACAATTAAGAGGCATTGCTGTTGCGAGAATGAAAGAGGGACAACTCATATCAAGTTATACTTATTATAAAACCCAGGTTGTTTGTGTGTGTTCGTTTATATATGGGATCGGATTTCCTACATTTTTCAACCGATTTCAACAAAACTTCACTTTCTTTTGGCAGGTAGTGTTTCTTATTGTCTTGCACACTTTTTTTTTTATTTTTACATTCAGAATGCTTTAAAAATTCCATTTACAAGACAATTGTTTATAATAAAATTCTATTTAATCGGTAGACTCATAACGATTGAAAACAATGTTTTTGTTTGAGTTTGGGTTTGACCAATTCGTAAAAAAAAACAAAAAACTAATTAAGACGTGTGTGTGTCAACCTTAAACAATAATCTTTGTCAATTTTATTTTTCAGTCTTTATGATGGTCGATACTTTATCTATCTCTTACTGTTGCAACGCCAGGCTCTACTGCTAGTAATGAATAAAAAGTCAAACACTATACAATAGCTACCAATAACTTAGGTACCTCCATGAGATCACTAAAAAAAGAGCATAGCATGATGAAAAAGATGCCAAACTTGACAAAAACAAAATTTTATTGCCTAAATGTTTATGTTATTAAGAGGAAAGACCAAAGTTTTTTTTTTTTTTTTTTTTTTAATTATTTAAAAAAATTTTTTCCTTCTTTTTAGAACATTCTAAATTTTTTTTGGAAAATCTTGCAAAAATAAAAATAATTGTCGGATGTTAATGAAACTTTCAGAAACTATTCACAGATGATGGAAATTATTATAAATATATTTTTTTATTAAAGTCATGGCAGAAATATTTTTTATTTATTTATTAATAACTAATTTTATGAAAATTCTAGAAATTCAATCGAGTTCAGTTTAGTGATTATATTAGTTAAAAGCACAAGGCTTTGAGGAAAGCAAATCATGTTTATTTTTTTTTAATTGGACCCCCTCTACCTGAAAATCAGCCCTGAATTGTAACATACAAAACTCAATAAAACAAAAATATTATTTAATTTCAAATGCTTTTATTTGCTTTTAGTTGTTTTTATGAATATGGACAATATTTTCTGAAAGCAAAAAATTTTTTCGATGAAAAATGAATTTTTAATACAATTATTTGTTATTTCTTTACTTATTTTAGATTTTTACATTTAAGTTGTTAAAATATTATAAAATTAGTTGAAAGCCATATTCACTTTCATAAATGTCCTTATGAGATAGATCATATTTTAGCACTTTGTAAATTGTATCGCTTCGTCCAATCAGAAGACCTGCAGTAATTAAGAAATGTAATTTTGTGTTCATAAAAATCTTTAAAATGGCTGTAATTATAAAGTATGGAAGGTCACAAGCAATAAAACGTTACATGGCTTGAGTGTAAGCACTCTCCGCTGAATGTCCTTTTCATTATTGCAAATTCTTTGTGTGAAACACATGTTGAGCATTTTGAATTAGTGTTTTTACTAATTAAAAAAACTTGAACACCACCCTAAGCCATTTTCAGCAGCAACATTACTACATTTTTAAAAGCATCATTTATTTCATTTACATATTTCATTGTAATTTCAATTTTGTGAACTTGTTTAACAGTTTTCAGTGAGTCATCTTATTTCAATTTTATGAAATTTAATCTCACTCTCAACAGTCTTATTTTAATTTCTTTATAATATTTTTCATAAAGCATTGTAAAAAAAGGAAAAAAATGTGTGCTGAAAGTTTTTCTTAAAAATAATGAGGTAA